CCGATTGCTAGCTGGTCCCCCGATGGGCGTCTACCTACTACCAGCGGGCTGCGGCGCGGCCTGATGTGCCACTGCGGTGAGGAAGGGCTTCGCAATAGGCTGGCCGTAGTGGCCTGCCCACGGCCGCCTCCGAGAAGCTTGGTCCTGATGCAACCGGCTAACCCCTGGCCGGTACCACCGGCTATAGCGGATATCGCCCCTACTGGTGGGAGGAGTTTCCGCATGATCCCTCATGGGAGGCTTGAGCACGGGTGTGGCTACTACGTAGGCCCCGAAACGCTCAAACGGAATAGCTTCGGCGTGCTCACGAGACTAGCCCATGGCCACGCTCCCGGCCACCTTGTAAATACATCACACCCCCACGCGGCTATACCGGATCATGCCGCCGTTGACGTCGTCCTCCGTATGCGTGCGCAAGTCAAGGTAAATGCACCAACCTGTTTAATCAGAAGAAACAAATTCTGGTCGGCGATCACGCCGTTCCTTCAATCATCAACAAATAAARAGATCACGCGCGCCTTAAAATCCGYGCGCCCACACACTCTCTATTATAGTCAACTACCCTATCAACGTAAAATACARACGCAGCCGCGCCTAGCGCAGTATACCTAAACTATAGATTAAAACTATTTTCTGTCACTTGCAAAAACCAGGGCGGATACCCTTGTAAGGGTATTCGCACCGACAGCGTTTCCCCCGGAGCTCGTGCACTCTCGCTGTCAGTGTCCACAGACGCACCCTCCGAAGCATGACGTTCACACTCGCTTTCCCCGGTCTCCAACACTTTGAGAGACTGCCAGCGTTGAGTTCCCTCTTCCCGATGTACAGCACGCCTCCCCGAAGAGCGCTCGTCTTCCCCAAGAGTGTGATGTTCGTTCTCGCTACCCACGGTCTCCAACACTCCTGGAGCGGGCCCCTCCAGCACGTCGTGAGACCGCGAATCTCGAGTCTCAACACATGAGAAGGGAGGCGAGCAGGGTAACCCTGTGTCCAACTGAAGATGCAGGGGCCAGGACGTCACATTTTCTTGGCCCCGCGGAACTGTTGCGTGAGGAGCACTTATGGCGGATGGCGACGTCAGCAAATCCGAATGCATTCGGAGTTTGTGGCGGTCGCTCGAGCCGAGGGAACCGGAGGTCGCACCTTTGCTCCTTCGCAATGCAGGCATCCCGCCCTCCAGGCAAAACGAAGACGCGCCCTCTTTCAGGAGCAAGGTGTTGAGCACAGGAGACCTCTGCTGCGCACGGCGGGATGGACTCTCCTAGGCAACGGAAAACAAACTCCTCGCAGACAAGTGTGAATCTACTCGCACTTGATCAGACATTAGGGTGGCCTCGTCTCCCATGTCGGAATCTCGACTCCCTACGCAGTGGGGGTCAGTTTTCATATATTGGGGACTCCCGGACGTTCTACACTTTCCGCCCGACCCCTTCCCGCTCGACCGCTTCCCGCCCGACCCCTTTCCGCCCGACCCCTTTCTGCCGGACGCCCTCTCAACCGACGATGTCTCGCCCGTCCCCTTTCCGACAAACTGTGAGTCGTCTCCCCCGCCACCTCCGCCGTCTCCTTCGTCTCCTCCACCACCCCCTCCCGGATGCTGACCGGCCGGCGGAGGTTGCGGCATGCGCCAGTCAATGCCACGAGACAGTGCCGTTTCGAGTGTGTAGAAAGGTGCTAGAAACTCCAACATGTTGTTGGCGTACAACTCATGTAGCTTTTGTTCTGCATACGCATCGATGTCCTGATTATTCCTCTCGGGGTTCGTGAGACTCAAATGCTCTACCAGAGCAGTTTTTGCCTTTCTCTTAAATGCACCCGCTCCCAGTCTCTTCAGTCCACTCCACTTGCCATCGGCCTCCTTTATAGCCATGACCCATATTTCATTCCTCATAGCAGGTTGGAATATCCTCGGGTGCAAGACGACGTTGTATCCCCAGACATCCTCCGACGTGAACCGGTGATGCTTGCCGAAGAAGTAGAGTCTGTCATTCTGCCAGGTGTCATGGTCCACAGGGAGCCTGTCACAAGGTTCGTGATCATAGTCTCTCTCTTCCTCCCCGTCATCAGACGATTGGTCGTCGACTGGTTCGCCCCGAAACACACGCTTCAAACCGGCAGGGGACGTGCTATATCTCCGAGGGCCACCTTCCTCTTCATCACCAACCTGTCCAACCACCTGAGGAAGTGGCATGGACTCGAAATCGAAGGTTTCGGAGTCGCTCAGCTCCTCCATGTCTTCAGCGTCGAAAGGGTCCTCCTCGTCAAACTATGACTTGTAGTTTTCGAGAGTGAGCGGTTCGGCCAGCGTGAAGTAAACGTGCTCCAGCCTTCTCGGGAAGTGCGAGACAACCTCCCTGGGTGCACCGTGGTACCCATTGAGCACAGCGAACACCAGGTTTCTCCGTCGACTGTATTCGAGGTCGGTCGGACCAGGCGGTTCGGGTCCGAAAAGGAAGTCCCAAACGTCCGTCCTTTTGTTCCCCGACAATTTTCAATACATGTCACGTTTGGGATCCCAGTTCCGTTCGCCGGTGAACCTTACAAACTCGCAAGCATTGCGAGTGTCTACAACGCGTGCCTTCACGAACTCGTGAAGGTAATCGATCATCTTCGCCTCCTTCTCCAACGCGACGACGTTCCGACCGGTGCGTAGGAGTTCCCACACGACAGACGCATGCGCCTTCCCAAAGAAAAAAACAGTTTGACCAGCTTTGCAAAAGTTTTCGACTAGACCAAGTAGACGGGACGGGTTCCGCTCCATCTCCCCGTAAGCAGGTCCTTGAGAACTTGTCATGCCGCCGTCCTCCCATATGCTACGAGAGAACCTTTCCTCTTCCGCCACGTCGAAACACGCCGCATCCTGTCCTGATGGGCCCGCCACCGTGTGTTTGGCCGGACTTGGACCATGAGCACGGGAAGCCTTTGTCGAGCTACTGGCCGGTAGACTGCGAATGTGTTGTCTTCCAGCTTCTCGCCATTAAAAATCACGTACAGGCGGTCACACTCCTCAACCAGCATATTGCCTTCCCGGACAGTAGCCTGCTTTTGTGCATTACGTACCCACTTCCCTGTCCTCACGTGATGGACGCTAAGCCTTGCCATGCCTTTCAAGAAATTGAGCTCCCAACGAGAGGGGAAAAAGATCACAAGTGCCCAGTGCGTTGGCGAAAGTGTTTGTAGAAGGCCTTGCAAGTTGCCGAAATCGTCTTCTCGCCAGTCTGTGAGAAGTGTGGGACCACACAAATCGAGGACGTACAGGTTGCACACGTAATGTCGCACAACCTTACGGATCACAGTGACATGACTGTAAGCTTGGGAAGGCGGGAAAGCGAAAGGAATAAGGCTGGTCACCCGGTTGAGGTCGGGCCATTTGATGTGCCTCACATCCCCGCTGACCCTGATCGTGTCTCGAACTTCTTCTTCCGTCCGTCGCAAGATGGAAAAGACAGACTTTTCGAAAGATTTAGGGAACCTGTCGTCCTCGTACAATTTCTTCGCGGCGTCGAGGGACTCCTTCTCGTGCGGAAGAGTACATTTGCAAGTGTTCACGTACTCCACCGCGCCCTGGAAATACTTTCGCATTTCGACCCACACCTGTTTCGTGAGGCCCTGCGGCCCGAACTCCTCCAGAAGCTTCCCCTCGGTCCGAAAAAAACGGCTTCCGTGGTGCCAAACACGTTCGTCCTCCTCCGTTTCAAGGAACGAGATGTAGTGGAACATACGGAGCATCACACGGTCCACTTTCCTTATCGCGACCATGTCTTTAATTCCAGGTTTATGCTGACGCTTCAGATGGCCGCCCGCGGATTGCATGAACACTCCCCGTAGTGTGAGAATGCCGTCGAGGATCAACAGTTTCTCGACATCGGTCATGTCGGCGAGAGACTGCCAACAGAACATGTCTGGCTCCTTCACGACCACGAAAAACTTGTCGTCCGCTTGCGTTTTCTTTTTGGTCGGAGGCGGCGGGACCTGGACCAGCCACCCTATCTTCGTTTCACCAGCCGCCCCTTTCAAGCTCATTTCCGGAATTGCTTGCAGACCCAGAGATTTGTCTGGCATGTATTTGCCCGGCCTCAACAATGGCGTCTTGCCGTCGCCGCCCAACAACTTCCCCTCCGCCCATTTCGCGTAGAACTCCATGCCTTTGCGAAAAACGTCATCACCGGCCGTCACGAGCGGCATCCACTGCCTCAATGCATTGCCAACGTCAGCGACATACTCCTTGTCGGCGAGCGACAAATCTTTTTTTGACAACGCCCGGTGAGATTCGTTCGGACTCTTTCCCAAAATCAGCTTTTGGAAATCGAAAAAGTTTTGTTTTTCAGCCTCCTTGCCGGAAGGGTTCCCTTGAATGGCCATCGACCTTCCTTCGTTCTCTCATGCCTCCCGCATGTCCAAGAACGCGGCCTTCTGCGATCGCTGCTTAGACATCTTGTGTCTCGTGTTTTCGTTGAGACTGACCTGCCTATACCCCGCGAAATCTCGGTCGAAGAACCACACTACTCTCGCTGGCCGCGAGTGCATCTTCCACAAATCGAATATCTGCTCACCCTCTAACTCCTTCACAGCAGCCACGGTGTGTTGTCCGTTAACAGGGTAATAGTAGTAGTTGTCCTTGTCCTCTGGCTTGAAGACATCTTTGTGAACCCTGTCAGCTTGCTCCGGCCTCCGCGGCACCGACTTGTAGATGGATGCCAAAACGAGAGGGTTTTTCGTCCAGATCTTCTTCTCGCGGAATTGACTCAGCATCGCATCCTTGATGTCGTCCACAGTTTCACGACTTAGACTGCGGTGGTTGTAATATTTTTTCCAAGGCGGGATGTCGCAGACCTTCCTGGGGTCGATGAGCAGTTGGACTGGGAGCTCCTTCTCCACGATTTCACCGACATCGTTCCGCTCGTATTCGAGCCAGAACGCCGCCGCTTCGTCGCACTCCTGACCGACAGGCCCTTCGCCACCGCTCGCCGCCTCAGCAGTCTTCCACCTTCGAGGTTTCTTCTGGCCATCACCTTCTTCAGCTGCCACTTTCCGTTTCGATTTCCCCGAAGGTTCTCTCGCGGCCGCAGCGCCTGGATCAGCCGAATCTCCTCCACCCGCGGCTTGTCCTTCGCGGATGGTCAAACCGTCGGGCCTCCTTGCTTTCTTACTTGTCGTCCCACCCTCTTCCTTTGTCGGCTTCTTTCCCGAGGCACGTTCTCCGTCGCCACCTCCATCCCCGCCCATCAACGCCTCCGATTTTCCTCTCATCCTCTTCATGCGGAGGGTTCCTTCCGCCACCTCCTGTCGCACCATCCTCTGTCGCTCGCTCTTCTTCTCCGAAGGAGTCTGCTCCCGCCAGAGCTTTCACGGAAAGCGCCCATCCCTTCAGCCTCATTCCATCCAACATCTAGCCCCAATCTGCTTGAATATCTTCTCGTCTCATCTCGAAGCGAATATGTGTCGGCGCCGCAGCGGACCTTGATAAGTTTCGGAGTACCGACTCATTGAGTCCCTGTATCCCGAGAATGCAAGTCCGACGTGTTCCTAGCAGCATCCGGGCCGACCTGCGTTTGAACGCTGCGTCCCTTGACCCGACCCCCAGCGTCTTGAATCGGACTCCCGCGCCCCACTGCCGTACATGGAGTTTCTTGAGCCAAGCCGGACAACCCCTCACGGGGTGGCAGAAGCCGGAAAACATGCTCTGGCGGAAGAACCGGACGTTTTTTCGGCACCATCAGCGCGAGATCGAGATATTGCTCTGGCGATGGAAGACGCTTGCTGCCACCATCGTAAAGGCCTTTGAAGTGAGAGCACAACGGCATGTTCGAGCCGTACCCCGTGAAACTCTTGATGGTCACCAGCACACCTTTTACACCTCTGATATGCAGTCTGCACTCGTCCTACACGCCGTTAGTGTGCAGCTTGAGCAAACCTCCAGGAGTCTTCGTGCACGAGACGATGGTACCGAGGGGAACAACGTTGACCGCTCCCCCAACGTCTGTAACGCAAGTGGGTCGCATGAAAACAGCTGGACCAAAATGGTCCCCCTGAACAATTAAGTCCAAAAACCATGGTGCTCCCTTTGTGTGCACATACTGAGGAGTAAGTTGCTGTACAGGTCGTCCCTCCCCGGGGGCAGATGGTCCAGCGCTTGTGGATGTGTTCTTTGCGGACGTCATTGTATTCCCACCCGTTGACTAGCACGCCCAACCTCAGACCAACTCGGATGACTAATACGCCCAACCCCAGACCACTACAGAAGCGAAGTGCGAACTAACTCGGACTTAACAAAATGGAGGACGGAAATGACGTAAGAGATGAGTGTTCGAAATGCACACGAAGTCACAACAATCGGGTGAAGGATAGGAAAGACAGAAGTTCGGAGGGAAGACGATAACTGTTCGGAAAGATTGCGACCCAACTAGATGCCCTCGAAACGAGTAAGATGTGGTTTATTGATAAGTGCGAAGGGTGTCGACAAGTGCGAACTAACTCGCAGTTTTGTAGACAAGACAACAATGGCAACCCGCTACACTAGGGGAAAGTGCGAACTAACTCGGAATTGTGGAACTGAAGACCTGAAAGACACACAAAACGAGTAAGATGTGGTTTATCGA